TTGAAGCTGATTCTACATCAAATTTGTTGAGCACAGTTCCTGCATTTTCACCTTGTACCGAAGAATGCTTATTTTTCGAGTTTAGTTGAGAGGGCATTCATTATGCACCTGAATTACGTAACTTGAATGCCAACAGCAGCCAAATGCGCAGCATTTCTGAATGCGTTCTTGGAACGAACAAGAAGCATTTGTCACGCAGCTGTATGGTGCCAGAGGTAAATAATTTGTGAAGATGTTTCCGATTTATTGTGAAGTTAACGTGTGGAATAGGAAAGCTCTGATGGATATAAAACGGCAGAACCTGGGCTGTGGAAATAAAATAATGAGCCCTAATAGATTTATCTCTGTAAAATCAATGAGTTTAGAGTAGAAGAGGTGTTGACTGGCGCAGCATGACGAAATGAGCAACCAGACGCGACTTTTCGTCGAATGAGATATTAATGATCCTTTAATGATGCATAATTTTCAATAAGCACCGTAGAAGATACACTGCTATTAGAGTGTTTGAAAGGTCTGTGAACAATATTGAGCGAGATATGGATACGAAGAAAATCAAATATGTCCAAGCATTGATAGAAAATATTAGACTTCCTCAAGACGACTATGTATTGCTGCTGCTTCCGACAGCCCGGTTTAGGAAACGCTCCATACATACTACGGCGTATCACCGTCAGGAGTAGTAGGCAAAGATTGCACCTGAGAAGCAAGTGAGTGGAATGCGTCTTTCTCAGAGTTACAGAATCTGGCAAGGTTGGCATGTCACGAACCCCAAACAGTAATCTAGCAGGGTTCGAATATTGCATAATTCTTCCAGATCAAATTTCATGGCGTAATTGCACCGTTTCCTTGCTCTTAATTACCTAGAAGGTCATTTAAACAGAAGTGGAAGTTAAAAAACTGTGTGTCACCGTGGCTTGTGCTAGCAGCAGCCATCTCGCTCTCATTGGGAACAATATTTGAGGAGCTGGTATTCCTATGGGCTACTTCACGGATATCAAAATATGTTCCTACTCCAAAATATGCCAAATAACACATGGCTGTTGGTAAACAAGATTTTCTGGACCAGGCGAACAGAGTGGCAGATCTGGAACAAGGATAACTCTGGCTGCAAGACCAAAGGGTAGGATTTAGAATCACCGGTCACTCATCAATTCTTAGGTTTTCCTGAGGAAAACGTTACGAAGCGTAAGACTCGCTGCCGACCGAAAGAAGGTGAGGTTAATCTGATGCGGCATGGAAAGGACTAACAATCTAAACATTAAACGGTCCCTTTTCGAGTGCCACATGTAAAGTTCAACACTCACCACTTAAAATTGCGGTTCCGCTCACAGCACCGTCCGCCGCAAAGCAGAACACGTGAAAAATAGTCTGGAACAGTAAGCTATGCGGCATTACTGCTGCAAGGTCGTGGCTGTTTCTGATGGCCGTCTGACATCAGGCGAGGAAAAATCTAAAATTGAACATTCGTTTACAAACTTTAACTTTAAAACAGTCCGGTCTGGGGACATCTCGCACATCTGTATTTATGACCTCATCTAACTTAGTTCGAGTCATCAAATTCAGCAGCAGAAGCCAACGCATGCGTTAATGAACCGTTGCTGGTAAATTAAGGGAAAATTTTTGCATTGTTTATTGTCACTGAGGCATCAGTGACGATGGGATTGCGACACTCCCTCGCGTTACACCTCAAAGTGAGCATAATGTTTAAACGATATCTATCTTACTAAGAGAACTGCCATCAAGAATGTGGCTTGATATGAACGAAGAAGTTAAAAGGAATCCAACATTGCTGAACAACCAGCAAACGTCACAGCGAGATGTATGTCAAAAAATCAGTATCGGTTAATCACCCCATTCGCTTACTTCCAGATTGCGTTGTGGTACTTTATGACGTTCGGAAGGAACGACTCAACCTGTAAGTTACCGAAAGTTATCCGTAATAGGTAAAATGATAAAATCGTTCAACAGTACATACTGCATGAACAGACTCATCCTCATGAACACAGAACGCATGTACTTCGAAGATCAGATTTATGAACGTAGTGCTTCAATCGGCTGCTACGAATCTCCCATAAAACATTTAAAAAACAGTATAAAATATGGTGTACTTATATCCAACGCAAGTAAACCGTGTTTTGCGTTATATTTCAGTATCACTACCAATGCGCAAACAAAATACTCCATCTTGTAAAATGTCACAGCCATCGAGTGAGCCTCAAAACAGGTAGGTTCCTCAAAATGGCGAAGAATGTAAAAATGGTGCGTGCTTGTTCATGCGAAATAATCGTGACTGTTTTTTAAAATAGTACCGCGATACCGTTCTTCAAATGGAAGCGAAGGAAAAGAAGGACAGCGGTTGACGGAGGACAGCAATCAGGATACCACTGATGTCACAAGAATTGTATAAAATCGTGAAAGGTTACGTACAACCGTGCACCACTCGCTGAACAAAGAATAGAGACCTCGACTGGATCGAGGTTAAATCCTCGACGGCTCACGTGAGTCTAAAAATTCAAATCATTCTTTAGTATTTCCAGCTGGCTTCGTCTCCAAGTCCCTCTAAATATGGATCGTTTGCTATCTGAGTTTATATTCAAGAACCATGAGTTATGTTCCCTCTTTTCTAATAGAAAATACACTGTTAACTTGATGGTTGATTTCTGATCAATGTCTGATAAACGGAGGAGTTTAATTTGATGTTCGAGAATATGAAGCTGTCTCTGATCCAATAATGATCAGTTAATCCTAGCAGGACGTCTTGGAGGCAATAATAAATCATATATTAATGCAGCAAACGACCTTGCGTCATGAAGCATGCAAGCTCATGTTTACAGCCGTCCGTACTTTGACAGGTCGTCATTTTTCCGTAACAGCCAGTCAGATGGCATTCTAGCTTACCTCTACCAGACATAAGAGGTAGTAATGTCTTTGTGATAAGTTAGCTGCTTCATTTCCATGATTTGAGGTTACAGTCACTGTGTTGAAAACTTTTTGCCCCTTACTGAAGAGAAACGTGAAGCAGTAATGTTGCTCACCACTCCTTAGCATCGCAATTCTGTGCTTAACTGGCCTTTGTGACTAACTGCTTATGTTCTTCACACGTTTCTGCAGCAGCAACATCAAGATGACATACACGTAGAAAAACATTATTGGTGAAAATACCATATACAAATATTGTGAAATTGTTTGAACAAAAACTAAGTGACAAAGATGTCAGGGGCATCTAAATCTTGTAAGAAGACTGATTCAAGCATACGAGAAGTTACTCAGATCAGAATATATTCATTTTGAATGGTTCTATTTTTAGTTTTCTATTTATTTTGGGAGCGATCAGCTATGCTAGATGGCAATTTATTCTATGTCAAATGCGGAGATTGCAATAAAATGTAAGAAACTAGTCTTACTTAATGAACGATGAAAGACAATGCAGCTTTGACTCACTCGTAATCTACTGACGTAGAGAGGGAGATTCAATCAAAAGATGCAGACCCGTTGTCAAACATGACAACGACCAATGCGGAGGGATGAAAATTGAGATGGACTGGTTCTCAGCGATGGCTCGTTCGGTCTACATCGCCGATGCTTGTTCGTTGAGAGTTGAAAGAGCAACAACGACTTGGGCGAGACGAATTCCATCGATAACAAAGAACAAATATTTATGAGGTGAAACAGGAGTCTTCGAATTCCAAGACTGAAGGCACAAATGGAGAAGGAATGGTGTTCATTGGAGACCAAGGTGTCACAAAGACTGACTCCGGGATCAAAACCAGACCGAAAGAACACCTATGACGAAGCTGCATAAACGAAACCAGAAGATGGACCCAGTTAAACATAATCACCTTTATCACTCATAGTCAGGCACATAATTGAATGATGGGAACAGGCTAAATCTTCAGGTCGTCTGTCCTCTGAACAGAAAATAATAGCTGTCAATAACGGGGATGACGATGATAAGGAAGAGGGACAGCAGGATAAGGATGACAAATTATGATGACGGTGGTTCTGATGATTATGGCAAAGATATTTGTGATGATGAGGAGGAGAAGGAAAATGACGATGGTGATAACGATTATATGACACAAAGGGAATTGAAACACCGGTGAATAGGCTATGTTTTCATCAATAAAATGTTGCTCATCATTCTGACTAAGACGGTATCAGTTCTCCAAAAGAGAATGTAGCTGTTAATTGAAAGCTCAACTCTTTAATAATCATTTTACTCACTTTATACCTCAAGCCATTAAATATTGAACGTTCCTCTACTAATTGTTTTGCACTGAATCTTGTGTGCCTTCAAAACTAGGGAAACATATTTTGCGGAGCATGCAGAACTAATGAAATGCTACGAACAGGATGCTAGGCAATTCGATTATATGTAATGAATCATGCAAAATAGTCAAGTTGACGACCACCCTAGTTTGGCGATGGTTGCTGCTGTCAGAATCAAACCTCCTTCCACCGTGAAGGTGAAGCAACGCCTAATTCGATTATTTACTTCCAGCCGATGGAATGTCATAAACACTGTAGGCTAGACAGATGCCTTTTGATCGTGAGACTCTTCAGACGTCGCCGCCTCCGAAATAATCCTTAAAGCCAGCAAAGCTTCAGACACAAACACGATTTATTTTTCAGCGTGACTCAACCTTCTTGCTGCGTTCAAAAGCCCAACTTTGAATCACTTTCCTCTGCTGGTGTATGATTAAGTGAATCCATGCAACTCTGTAGCAAGCTCAAAGCTTCTTCATCGTCATCTTCTCCATATTTCCATCGCATGACTACACCTCCCAGAGGGGTCAATGACCCGCAGTCATATGATAAAAGAATTGCCAAATGCTCCATAGAAAATTTCATGTTGATTCATTGCCAGCGCATTAGAAAGTGTCTTCTATTTTGATTGGTATTGCGATACAGGAAAAATTGAGCGTTTTTTCAAAAATAGCATCGCAGGGAGTCGCCTAATATCGGTTCCTCACAACTACTAATATTAACAGCCGTTGAGCAATTTTCCTCACTTCCTCGTAACAACCGACAGATAAGAAGAGTGATTAGGCTGCTTTGTTATAGAGCAAATCAGTATGAGCTTCTGGGGATATAACAATACTGTTTAGCTGCTTCGGGTTAAATGGGGTTTTTTTACGTATTCTAGCGAAATAA